TAAAAGTAGTAATGTTTATTCAGTAAAACAAATTCATGAATGGTTGCCTTTATTAAAATCTATGGCATTTATTTATTTACTACTTAAGGGTCTGCCTTTTAGAGCTTTCATTGTAAGAATCACCTCGAGGAAGGAAGATTTATGTTTGGCTCTATTATAAACCATTATCTATATGACCAGTAAATATTAGGCAGAAAACTATTCTTCCCAGACAATATTAGGAAACAGAAGAGACAATTAAAAGAAAATGGAGGGAATATAATTCTAAAAGAAGTAAGAAGGAAAAAAAAGGGAAGAAATTTAAAGCTTTAAATTGACCTTTGATGGCTGAATTCCATTTAATTCTATTGGATTTCTATCTTCCTTCTTGGTCTGTTATCTTAATGGACTATTTGCTTAGTTTCAAAAATATTTGCTAATTTTTTTTTTAAGTTGCCAGAGGATGCATGTGCTCATTGGGTAGGGGAAGATAAAGCACCATCCCAATGGGGTATGGTTATGCTAAAATCCCTTCTCTTCTTTCAGCCTGTCAGAATTTACTTTTTTAAGAGAGAGATTTTTGTAACAGAGTGTGTGTGCACATACCCTAAGAACAATCAGAGGCAGAAAGTGAGAAATCACACCCCCCAAGGAAGATGGACATGCCACAATCCCTTCTCCTCCATTCTCCTCTCAGGATTTTGGGCATGCACACACGTGTCTGGCATGAGTTTCAAGCTGCCAGGTCCAGGACTCCAGCCGTGGTCGGTCATGTGAGAGTCCAGTGACGTAGCTGTTATGCTATCTGCTGGTTCCCTGTCAGGATTTTTGGATATACACATGTGCCCAGCATGTCTTCAAAGCCTCTGGGGCCAGCATTCAAACCATGGTCAGCCATGTGGGATCGTCTACCTTAACCACTAGGCAGCGGGGTCATTCCCATGTGCTGTCTAATATGTTGTAAAGGCAAAATTTGATTTTCTAGGGACAGAAATCTGATGAAAAGTTCTTTTCTCCCTCTTGAGTTACTTTTCATGTACTTCCCTCTATATTTACAGGAGCTCTGTATCCTACCTTGCAGTCTCGGAAAACATGTGCTTCCCTTTCCATCCTTGTCTTGCTACATTTTTGTGCATTAGTATAACACGTAATCTTCCTCTCTTTTATTCCTGATAAACTCAAAAGTACCCAATGAAAATTAAATTTTAACACCATTAAATCTTGTAAAATTTAAATCTATGCTCTCTTGTAGAGTGTCCATACTCTTCTTTAGTTTTGCTTTGGGAATGTTATCTCTTTAAAATACAGTTTACCCAGGGCCAGACAGAGATGTAGAGCTAATGCAGTGCTCAGGATGCTGGGCCCACAGGAAAAGGTCCTGGGTCTGTGTCCTAAGATGTCCCTGTACACACTGGGCATATGAGTAGGTTCCTGTGAGCTGGGGGGGCTGACGCTAGGGTTGGATCACAGCATAAAGACTCTATTGGGAGTGTAAAGCTTAACTACTAATAACCTACTGTTGACCAGGAGGCTTATTAATAACAAAAAAAGGTCAATTAACAGGGGTCAGCAGACAGTATAGCAGTTATGTCCCTGGATTCCCACGTGGTCAACTGTGATTGAGTCCTGGACCCTGACTTGAAACTCACACTGAGCGAGTGTGCGTGGGTGCCCAAGATCCCAGGAGGAGAATGGGGAAGAAGGGATTGCAGTGTGGCCAAGCCCCCCTGGGGGTGAGGGGTTTTCTCACTTTCTTTCTCACTGTCTCTCTCTCTCTCTCTCCAACAAGTGCCAGCACCCTAAGACAAAAACCTCTACCCTCCCCCGAAAAAAATATTGATGAACATTTTTTGTTACATTTATTTTATACTATAGTCTCACAATAAATGAGCTAGATAAAAAGAAAATGCTATGAAGAAAATTATAAGAGAGGAGAACATGTATTATACAATTTTGTACTGTATATTTATATATTTATTGAAAAAATACCCAATCAAATCCCTCCATTCAAGGGACACCTGTATTTAAGTTCTGAGGCTGCTTATCTGCCCATCAGACTGGTAAATACCCAATCAAATCCCTGCCATTCAAGGGACACCTGTATTTAAGTTCTGAGGCTGCTTATCTGCCCATTAGACTGGTAAACCGTACTTGATTCTTCAGTAACTAGAGGCATTGCTTTTTAGAGCAACCCAAAATATTCAGAGCAGGGCCATTCTCCACAGGAATTTACACCAAAGAACAGATACGACACATTCTATGCATGTTATTGAAATGTAACCCCATAATAAGAATATGTCACAAACACAATGAGCAAATAGAGCTCTCTTTTCTCAACATAACATTAAACCAGGCCAACAACACTAGAGGTTTTCTAATCCTTGACTAGGGGGAGCAATCGAAATATTGCAACTGATAAACATTTCGGTTCCCTATAAACTATTACTGATTTACATTGTAGTAAGAGTAGCAATTAACATATTGCCTTTACTTGGCCTGCATTTTTGTTATAATATTCTCATAAGGGGACTTTAAAAGGTTCATAGAAAGTGGAATTACAATACAAGTTTATTTTGGTGCAAAGATTTGGGAAATCCATGGATTTTTTTCCCCTGTAATATGTATGTTTCATGAACTTTTTGAAGAATTGATCATACATCTTATATATTTTAGTTGTGCTTTAGAGATTCTCTTAACCCAATTTATGGATTAGTTTGTTGGTGGTGTTTTGTTTTGTTTTGTTTTTTCCTAAACTTGTTAAAATGCAGATTCATGGCCTAGGGAAACGGTTTCTCCAAAAGAGCTTGCTTTTCAGTTCAAGCGGCAACTTCTGCCCTGGAAGAGATCAGTCAATTGCCATATTTACTTTTCTTTCAGTAACTTTGGGTGTTATAGCTCATGCAAAGTGCCTGCGTAGTTTGGTTCACTGACTTGAGGTACTCTGTGAATGCAACTTATAAATAACTAATGTAAAGCTTGTTTTGTGATTGAAATGAGGGGCTGGTTTAGTTGACCCTTTTGATTTTTCAAGCCCCTAGTGGTATGGATGAGATTCCTAGCCCTTTTCAGCCTCACCCTGCCCTTACTCTTTGAAGGAAACTGTAATGTGTTGGCATCCCTGACCGGCGTTTTCTAGCAGTCCTTCAGCTCTAATGGACTTTGCTTATTCACAGAGGATGGCACCTCTCTTGAACTCTGTCTTGTTTCATTTCTCTTCCTTTCCAGACATCTCTTAGGCTTTCCTCCAGCATATTTCTAAATCCTTTTGAACACTTCAGCTCTCTAATATTGAAGGTAGTCCTAGTACCTTCAATATTAGAGAGCTGAAGTGGAACTCTGCTTTAAACTAGGCTTAAATAGTGCTTTTTTCCTCTATGGTGCAATTGTTTTAAATGTCTCTGAATGAATACTTGAAAATCAATCTATTTTTTTATTATGTTTCATGTATTATTTCTTTAAATGAATTATCATCTTTTGATTTATATGTGAAAACAAGATGTGATTGTATGAAATAGCCTATTATAGAAGCTGGGTATTTAAATTTTATTCCTGTTCTAGTTTTCTTATTTCTGCCTTTCACATTGCATTGTTTTTATTGATTGTTTTAAAGCAATTACAAGACTGCAATCCATATAATGATGTTGCAATCAAATATGTAACAATCATAATTCCAAGTCAATAATGCTATTTCTTTATAGTACATAGCATAATTACACATCTGGTTCATTGGCAAGTAGTTTTTTAAAATGAGTAAATATATCTTGGCATTTTTCTTTGACCTTTTATACTTCTCAAATGTGCTGTCATGCACAAATTTATTATATATATGTATGTGCTATAAATAATACTAAGCTTTTGAATCTATGAATAACATATTTATATAAATGAGTTAGTGCACTCGTACGTCTATTTCTTTCATTGTTTAATGGAAATGTATTGATTTCAGTGAATATCATTTTCCACTTTTTAGCAAATGTAGGAGTTTGTTGATTTTGTTTTTGTTGTTGTTAGACAAATTTTCAATAGCTCGTTATGCAAATAGCCCTACTCTCATTTATGCATCTAGAAAATGGTCAGAATAGTAAAAAAATATCTTCGGCCAGCCAGTGGCATAGTGATTAAGGTGTCTGGATCCCACATACCTGACTGTGCAGTTCGAGTTCCAGACCCGGTGGCTTGAAAATCATGGTGATTGTATGTGGTTGTGTCACCAAAATCCCTGAGAGGAGCTTGGAGGAGAAAGGATTGTGGTGTGGTCTTCCCTCTCAAGGATGGTGCCTCACTTTCCTTCTCTCATCCCCTGTCTGTCTCTTTCTGACAAGAGCCCTCACCTATAGCCATTAAGAAAAAATAATAGTTATCCTGGTAAATATTTCCCATACACACATCATTCAGCGAAGTTTTGTCCTCATGCTAGCTTCATGTCGTTAAAACTCAGTCTTCTTTTTCCTACACTCAGAGGCTCCTTTGATTACTTAAAAAGTACATAGAGAAAGGAAAAACAGCATACTGATTTGTCTCTCAGAGTGTTTTCTTTAAGCTGGTTTCACTCTATTGTTTTTTGCTTTTTGAGCACTGTTTTCTGAATGGACAATAATTTTCTTTGCTTTTTCCTGGATTCTGCATGATCTTTTCCTCTTTCCAAACTAATGTGATAATGTCTGATGTGTAAGAGGAAGATTTCTGTTCAGAAGAAGGGTGAATCTGTTTACCCAAGCAAAGATCAGCCTCATTTCACAAATTGCATGGTATTATTGGAGTAAAACTCAGTATCCTTTCATACTAACACACGAGTTCATAATGGGATTCTAGTATCCAGAAAGTATAGATTAAATTAATACCCTACTTCTTCAGTCAAAAATGAATCTGTCGATAAATACCTGTGTCTGAATATTAGTGATCAACCAAAACAAACAAAATTATTAAAATTTTCTACCAGGCCATTCTCTTTACCAGCTCACACATTTGTTAGAATATGTAGGCATCATACCCATCTCAACCCCATTTGTGTTTTTCCAAAGGTTATTTGATTACCACGGGCGTGTGCCACCACCTCCTCGCGCAGTAATTCCACTGAAGCGTCCCAGAGTGGCGGTCGCAACAACTCGCCGGGGAAAGGGAGTCTTTTCCATGAAAGGGGGTTCAAGATCTGCTGTCAGTGGGTCTTCCTCAGGCTCCAAATGTAAGTATTGTTCTTTATTTTATAATTCTCTTTATGGCGTTACTGCTGTGTATAAAATCTTAGAGAAATATAAAAGGAGTGAGACATGGTCTCCACTTTTCAACATACTGGTTGCAGTAAGGGAAACACACACACAGAGCTCACAAAAACCCAGGATCAGTTTGAAAAGCATTTATCAGGGCAGATAATATTGTGTTGTTGGCCAGTATAGCGTGTGACATATTACAGTCTTGAAAGAGCACATGTTGACTGTAATGGTAAACAATGTTACTTCAAAGAGATGGGCACAGACTATCTTTTTAGAGCAACATTATGCAAAATTAGTGCATGTTTTAACTATTTGAGCATGAAGTTAATGAAGATAATCAAACTATAGAGTAGAAATGTGAAAGTATTACTTGCCATACTATTCTAAATTTTTAAGAATTACATGTCTAAAAATATTTAATATCATAAATTATAAAATAATATTTACATAATTTCACATTAATGAGTAAAAAGTACAGATACAAACACACTAACCACGCTCCTAAATTTTTATATGGGCTAATAAGAAAACTCTAATTTGTAATTAGAATATTATTTATAAGAAAAGAATAAAAATGGGATCAGCAGATGGCATAATGGTTACATCACTGGACTCCCATGTAGTCAACCACAGTTCGAATCCCAGACCCATCAGCTTCAAACTCATACCAGGAGTGTGTGCATATACATGCCCAAGATCCTGAGAGGAGAATGGGAGAAGGGATTGGGGGTGGCCATGCCCCCCTCCTGTGGGGGAATCATTTCTTGCTTTCTGTTTCTCTGTCTCTCTCCATTTCTCTGATGAGTGCCCTATTAGCAAAAATTTATCTTAAAAAATAAAAGAAAAGAATAAAAATGTTTCTGCATCACTTGGGATTACATCCTAAGAGAAAAAAAAAACAGACAATAAATTGATATTGCATCAGTATCTGAAAGAATAAAGCTGTAGAGAAAGTTGGAAGCATTCTATTTCTTTTTTAATTTTTTAATCTTTCCAGAGGGCCCATGTGCTCAACAGAGATTGACAAAGTGAAAGAGAGGGAAGGAAAGCAACCCACACTTGGGTGTGGGTATGCCGAATCCCTTCTCCTCCATTTCTCCTCTCATTGGGATTTTGGATGTGTACACACATGAACGCAGTGTGTTTTTCAAGCCTTTGGGGCTGAGACTCCTACTGTGGTCAGCCATGTGGGATCTAGCTCTTTTAACCAGTATGTTCAAGAAGCACTATATTTCAAAAGGATGTTTAGGACTGCATATCTGACCAGGTGATGTTAAATACGAAACTCAAAGGAGTTAAAAAGTGAGCTTGGAAGCTCTCAGGTTCAGAGAGTTCTGTGCAAGGAGAATGGTCAATGGCAAGCTTTAAGTTGGAATATTCAAGAAACAAGGAAGTAGCTACAACAGAGCAGAGAGAGTAAGAATGGTTGGAGACAAGATCAGAATTGTAGAGGGAGGGGAACTGCTAATGTAGCCTGGTAGGCCATTGTATAGATTTGTATTTACTTTGCATTCAAATCCTTTAAGGCAAGTAAGGCAAATACATACTGCTATCCCAGTTTTAGTGATGAATAAACATGGAACATTATGTAGCTAGTAAATAAGAGAGCCAGAACTGCAACCCAGGTCTCTTTTTTTTTTTTTTTTTTTGGAGAGATTTTCACTGTAGGGCGCGTGCGCTCGCCAGACAGACAGAGAGAGACATAGAGACAGAAGGCGAGAAATCACCCCCCCAGGGGGGATGGTCACGCCGCAATCCCTTCTCCTCCATTCTCCTCTCGGGATCTTGGGCACGCACGCACACGCGCCCGGCGTGAGTTTTAAGCCACCGGGTTCGGGACACGAACCGCGGTCGACTACGGGGGAGTCCAGCGACATAGCCATTACGCTAACTGCTGGTTCCCACAACCCAGGTCTCTTAATTCTTGTCCACACATGCTATCTACTGAGGAAGGGTGCCTTTTATCTTAGCACTTCAGAAACACTAAGAAAGAATAATTGCTGAAACACTGTTACACGAGAGAGTGCAAAAAATAGTTTAAGAAGCAAGAAGATATTGATGCTTTTGAAACTCTATAGTATGCTCATAATTTGAGAATTTGACTTAATATAACCTATAATCAATACTAAACAGATGTATAGCTTTCTAAGTGCTTATTTATCCATTTATCTATTCTACATATAGATAAACAAGAATTCCTAAAAGAGTCTTAGTAACAAGTGGGAATAGTTTTCTGCAGTGTTTTGTTTTTTGTTGTTGTTTTGTTGTTGTTTTTGTTTTTTGTTGTTGTTTTGTTGTTTTTGTTTTTTGTTTTTGTTGTTTTGTTTTTTGTTGTTTTGTTGTTGTTTTTGTTTTTTGTTTTTTGTTTTTTGTTTGTTGTTGTTTTTGTTTTGTTGTTGTTTTTGTTTTTTGTTTTTGTATGCTCACTAGAGACACACACACACACAGAGATAGAGACAGATGAAGAGGGAGGAAGTGAGAAACCACCCACAGTGGCGATGGTCATGCTGCAATCCCTTCTCCTATATTCTCCTCTTGGGATTTTGGGCGTGCATGCACATACACCCAGCCTGAGTTTTAAGCCACTTGGCTGCAGATTTGAACCACGGTCAACCATGTGGGAGTCCAGCACCTTAACGACTACAATACTTGCTGGTCCCACTGCAGCAATCTTTAGACAAAATCTCATGTACTCTCAAATTATTGTTAAACGCAAAGGAAACTCTTAAATTTGATTCTTGCTGTGCAAAATTGAATGTTGAGTTCCTACTAGATATATAGACTTTTTTTTAACCATTTGTAACATTAACTTCATCTCAATTAGGAATATCTGAAGCATCCAGGGATTCTTTGCCCTGAGGTCAGTTTTATTTTGTTTTGTTTTGTTTTTTAGAGAGAGATTTTTGGTAGTGGGCACATGCACTCTCCAGACAGACAGAGAGACAGAAAGCGAGAAATCATTCCCCAGAAAAGATAGCTATGCCACAATCCTTTCTCCTCCATTTTCCTCTCAGGATCTTGGGCACACATGCACACCCACCCAGCATGAGTTTTAAGCCTCTGGGTCTGGGACTCGAACCATAGTCGACTACATGGGAGTCCAGCAATGTAACCATTATTCCATCTGTGGTTTCACCCTGTGGTTAATTTTAAAGCAGTGGAATGGAAGCCTCATTGGTGTATTGGCCAGGACACAGTTTTATGTTGCATTAGAGTGTTCTGAGTGAGCTTTGCAGAGCATTTAGAATCCCTGATCCCCAAATCCTTCATGCCAATAGCACTGTTTGGTGTTACCAACAGCCATAAACACCCTTATGTTAATACATTCCTACTGTCTCTAATGAGGTGGTACCCTCCTAGTTCACAACCACTGATTTAGGAAAATACTTGACATGCCTCTTGACCATCCTACAGACATGGCCTTATAGGACAAGACACAGCCTTACAGAACTCAACCACTCCGTGTCTGTATACTCCAATGTTACTGAGAAGAATAGTAGTTCCCAGAGGTTATTTTGAAGTAAATATCTCAAAATTTAAATGTTTACATCGATTTTGTTTCTTTTATTTAGGGATTTTTTTTTTTTTGTATCATAAAGAATGGAAACCAAGAATTTCTCTTGGTTCTGTAATAATCAGATTTTCTAAATGGACATAAAAGCAAATATAGATTTTGCTCTTAGTATTGAACTCTGTGTGTTTTCGCTTGTTGGTTATGTTACCAAATCCTCTCCTGACCACTGTTCCAGTGATAAATTATATGTCAAATTCTGAAAGTGCAATCTTCTACTATAATAGTGATTTTGTGACATAGTTTTTCCTTGAGGTATTGTTTTATATTGCACATTTCTTAGATATTTCTATATAATGATTTGTAATAATAGTAATGGGAGAAAGAATACTAAATGATACTTTCTAATTTTTTTTAATTGCCAGATGACATATGCACATACAAGAGAGAGAAAAGGAGAGTGAAAGAGAGAGATAGCACCCCCGTAATGGGGCAAGGTCATACCACAATCCTTTTCTTCCCATCTCCCTATCCCATTACGACCTGGGACCTGCACACACACACACACACACACGCACACGCACACGCACACGCACACACACACACACACACACTCACACGCACACACACACACACATATGCATCTAGTATGTTTTTCTGTCTGCCACAGCTGGGACTGAAACTCGGTTTTATACGCACAGCTCTTAACTCTACGCTACCAGCTGGCCTAGCTGATGTTTTTTAAATATTTACTCAATGACAGTTATTTTTCCAGGTACTTTACATATTAACTAATTTATTCCTCACAAATACCCCACAAGTAAGGTTTTACCATCATTCCCACCTTACAAGTGAAAAATGAGGCATAAAAAAGTTAAATGATATCACTAACAGAGAGTTTCCAGCTCTCAAAAAGCTCCAAGAATTTAAAAAAAAAAATGACTTTTGTCTTACATTGTAATAAACAACAAAATTTTTTGTATAGAAAGGCAAATTGTCAAAAACAGAAAAAAAGAATTTCAGGAGTCAGCCTCTTAAAGAAATAATTAAATACTTTACAGTTTGTCACTGAAATACATGTACCATGAGAATCTATTCTTATATCCAGAGGTGGATCTTGCACGAGGTTTAATTTGATCTCCTTTTTCTGGTTTTGGATGACAGTTTCGAGGTAAAGCTAAGTCTGAAAATTGGACTTCTAAATGTAAACCACAGATGTTTTGAAAGAAATGTGATATGTTTTGCTTTTTAGCAGCTATAGTTTTTTGGAATTATGCATCCCAGAGTAAAAATGTTGTTAGGTAGAAAGATAAACTGTAGGATAAAAACATTTTGTAAAGACTATCAAGAAAATTTGTGGTGGACATATTAATTCTTGAATTGTTAGTTTTAATTAAATTCTTACTCTATAAAGACAATAGTTTGATGAACCTTATACGTTTTCCTTACAGTTCTGTACCT